AAGGCCTGCTGAGAGAGAAGGACGCTTCACTGGAAGGAAGGAAAGGTGTGCCAACGAGAGGGAGGACAATAATGATGGAGCATGCTGTGAGGAACGAGTCCATGGTCTCTAATGATGGAGCATCTACCACCAGCTTCCTTCCCAAACCATGTGTATGTAGGTCACTGTACCCCCTCCCTCATGTTACAATGTACGCTCCCCTCCCTCATGTTACACAATGTACACTCCCCCTCCCTCATGTTACACAATGTACACTCCCCCTCCCTCATGTTACAATGTACACTCCCCCTCCCTCATGTTACACAATGTACACTCCCCTCCTCATGTTACAATGTACCTCCCCTCCTCAGCGTACACAATGTACACTCCCCCTCCCTCACGGTACAATGTACCTCCCCCTCCCTCACGGTACACAATGTACACTCCCCCTCCCTCATGTTACACAATGTACACTCCCCCTCCCTCACGGTACACAATGTACACTCCCCCTCCCTCACGGTACACAATGTACACTCCCCTCCCTCACGTACACAATGTACACTCCCCCTCCCTCACGGTACACAATGTACACTCCCCCTCCCTCACGGTACACAATGTACGCTCCCCCTCCCTCACGGTACACAATGTACACTCCCCCTCCCTCACGGTACACAATGTACACTCCCCCTCCCTCACGGTACACAATGTACACTCCCCCTCCCTCACGGTACACAATGTACACTCCCCCTCCCTCACGGTACACAATGTACACTCCCCCTCCCTCACGGTACACAATGTACACTCCCCCTCCCTCATGTTACACAATTCATGGTTATACTGGTATCACTGGCTGGGTGATTCAAGGTAACTCAGCCAGTGTACGACCACTCAGCAACCCATTTGTATTCTAAGACCCATCCCCTCATCAGTGGTCGGCCAGGACCACCAGCAAGCCACTCAGAACCATAGACCATGGTCAGGGGTCAGTCAGGACCACCACCACACTACCACTAATCGTTAGACAAATAGGCTACCAATGTGACCGGTGTGGGGTGGTGTAGGTGTGGTGTTTGTGGGTAGGTGTGGGGTGGTGTGTGTAGTTAAGTGTGGGGTGGTGTTTGTGGGTAGGTGTGGGTGGTGTAGGGGTGGTATATGGGTAGTTGTGGGGTGGTGTTGGGGTGGTGTAGGGGTGGTGTGACACCTTGATCATCACATAACATTCATTAGCCACAATCCTACTCTACACCTCCAACTAAGAACGTAAGAAAGGAGGAACACTGCAGCAGGTCTCTTGGCCCATACTAGGCAGGTCCTTTACAATCCATCCCACTAATAAAACATTTGCCCAACCCAGTTTTCAATGCCACCCAAGAAATAAGCTCTGATAAATGTCCACTCTCATATAAGAACATAAGAAATGTTGATGCATCTGTATGTGTGTGTGTGTACTCACCTAGTTGTGGTTGCAGAGGTCGAATCATAGCTCCTGGCCCAGCCTCTTCACTAAGGTACGTCACAGTGACACTTCAGCGGCTATTAATATGCCCAGAATTACAACTCTTTTAAGAATTTTTCCTGTCAAAGCTGAAGCTTATACATTATTATTATTATTATCAATAACTGCCAAACTTTGCCAAATCTGGCTCCTAAAACTAAAACTTTTTTGGGGTTACAGTGTGTGTGTTTCTGTCATGATTCACAGAAGGTGTTAAGACTGAGGCAGTGTTGGTGAGCAGGCTTCTGCTGCCTTCCAGCCTACTACAGGAAACAATGTTGGTATAAACCTTGGTAATAAATACCGACAAGTTGGTTTAGAAAGACACGTAAGCAAACACTATGACATATTTATTAGAAAACGTTTCGGTCCTGGGACCTTGATGACTTCTAACATACCTCTGTATGTTAGAAGTGATCAAGGTCCCAGGACCGAAACGTTTTCTAATAAATATGTCATAGTGTTTGCTTACGTATCTTTCTGAAACAATGTTAAACAGGATGGAGCAGCAGTGCCATCATGGCAGGTAGTACGAAGCAGCAGTGCCATCATGGCAGGTAGTACGAAGCAGCAGTGCCATCATGGCAGGTAGTACGAAGCAGCAGTGCCATCATGGCAGGTAGTACGAAGCAGCAGTGCCATCATGGCAGGTAGTACGAAGCAGCAGTGCCATCATGGCATGTAGTACGAAGCAGCAGTGCCATCATGGCAGGTAGTACGAAGCAGCAGTGCCATCATGGCATGTAGTACGAAGCAGCACAGCCATAAGGGGCAAACACATACTGAAGTTGTCTAAGTCATCTGTCTCTTACAATAGTCTCTCTCAACAAAAGCATTGTGGAAATGTACATATCACAATAGTCTCTCCCGACTGCAGAACGGTGGAAACGTACGGAAGGATAATTACAGCAATTTTGTACTAATAGTAATAATATGTTACCGCTATTGTATTCTTCAGAAGAAAATCGCCCGACATTGGTCTGTTGTCACGTGATGACCCGTTCAGTGATGTCGCTGGTCGTGCTGCGACGGGGTCACCTTTGTTATAACTTTGATGAATTCCGAGCTTTTCTACTCCCGGAGCCCGGCCATTGATCAGGCTCATCTTGTGCTAGCCTGGCCCCGCTGCCCCACATATCCATCACAGCCTGGTTGATCTGGCACCTGGTGAAGGTACTTGTCCAGCTTCCTCTTGAAGACTTCTACACTTGTTCTAGCAATGTTTCTGATATCTTCTGGCAAGATGCTGAATAATCTGGGACCACAAATGTTGACACAATGTTTCCTTATTGTGCTCACTGCACCCCTGCTTCTTACTGGGTTTATCCTGCACTTCCTCCCAGATCTGTGGTCTGAGTGAAAACTTATACCAAAGTACCAGTGAGGAGGAGAGGGTAGCGCCAAGGAGAGAGTACCAGTGAGGAGAGAGTACCAGTGAGGAGGAGAGAGTACCAGTGAGGAGGAGAGGGTAGCGCCAAGGAGAGAGTACCAGTGAGGAGAGAGTACCAATGAAGAGAGAGTAGCAGTGAGGAGAGAGTACCAGTGAGGAGGAGAGGGTACCAGTGAGGAGGAGAGGGTAGCGCCAAGGAGAGAGTACCAGTGAGGAGAGAGTACCAGTGAGGAGGAGAGGTACAGTGAGGAGGAGAGGTAGCAGGCAAGGAGAGAGTAGCAGTGAGGAGAGAGGTACCGTGAGGAGGAGAGAGTAGCAGTGAGGAGGAGAGGGTAGCGCCAAGGAGAGAGTACCAGTGAGGAGGAGAGGGTAGCGCCAAGGAGAGAGTACCAGTGAGGAGAGAGTACCAGTGAGGAGGAGAGAGTACCAGTGAGGAGGAGAGGGTAGCGAAGGAGAGAGTGCAGTGAGGAGAGAGTACCAGTGAGGAGGAGGAGGTAGCGCAAGGAGAGAGTACCAGTGAGGAGAGGTACAGTGAGGAGAGAGTACCAGTGAGGAGGAGAGAGTACGTGAGGAGGAGAGGTAGCGCAAGGAGAGAGTACCAGTGAGGAGAGAGTACCATGAGAGAGAGTAGCAGTGGGAGGAGAGAGTACCAGTGAGGAGGAGAGAGTACCAGTGAGGAGGAAAGGGTACGCCCAAGGAGAGAGTAGCAGTGAGGAGGAGTACCAATGAGGAGAGAGAGTAGCAGTGAGGAGGAGAGAGTAGCAGTGAGGAGGAGAGAGTGCCGTGAGGAGAGAGGTAGCAGTGGGGAGAGAGATCCAGTGAGGAGGAGAGAGTATCCGTGAGGAGGAGAGAGTAGCAGTGAGGAGGAGAGAGTAGCAGTGAGGAGGAGAGAGTACCAGTGAGGAGGAGAGAGTATCCGTGAGGAGGAGAGAGTAGCAGTGAGGAGGAGAGAGTACAGTAGGAGAGAGAGTAGCAGTGAGGAGGAGAAGTAACTCTGAAGATGGTAGAGTCACGTGGAGGAGACAGTAGCTGAGCGAAGGAGTACCATGAGAAGCGACGTACCAGTGGAGGTAGAGAGTACGTGAGGAGGAGGTACCGAGCATAGCAGGTGGTCGAGGGCAGTCTATCATAGCGTATCTTCTTAATGGTATCCAACCATCACAATGCTGTCCTTGCGACCTCAGTGTGTGTTGTGTGCTCATCTATGTGGTGCAGGGGTCGGTCATAGCTCTGGCCCCACCTCTTCACTGATCGCTTACTAGGTCCTATCTCTCCCGCTCATGGCTTATCAAACCTCGTCTTAAAACCATGTATGGTCCTTGCCTCCACTATGTCACTTGCCAGACTATTCCACTTCCTGACAACTCTCCGACTAAAGAAATACTTTCTAACATCCCTTTGACTCATCTGAGTCTTCAACTTCCAATTGTGACCCCTTGTTTCTGTGTCCCATCTCTGGAACATCCTGTCTCTGTCCACCTTGTCAATTCCTGTGTGTGTGTGTGTGTGTGTGTGTACTCACCTAGTTGAGGCTGCAGGGGTCGAGTCCAAGCTCCTGACCACGCCAGGTGTGTGCAATAATTAACCGTGTCCTCAATAGCCAGGTGTATGTAATAATTTCGCAAAAATCATTCTGAACCTAACGAAAAAAACTATTTTATTGTGTTTGTTTATTATTAAATTTCTGTAAACTTATATAAAATACATTTAGCTGGATTAGGCCAAATTAAATTGCGCTTGTTATAATAAGGTCAGGTAAGTTTTCTAATGTTCTTTTGGTACAAAATTATTAATGTTTACATTAACATAAATGAAAAATATATGTTTAAACGTATAAGAGAAAATTTTTGAAAGAACTTAATTTTAAATGAGTTCTTGCTAACTGACCAGTTTTACCTATTCGGCACGACACACACACACACATATATATATATATATATATATATATATATATATATATATATATATATATATATATATATATATATATATATATATATATATATATTTCAACCACATATGTAATAATAATTTATAAGTATCGGTTGGTATTGGCCGTCTTTTTTTTTACGGATACCGTAAAAATAGCTGATATCCGCCGATACCGATACCGTAGCACAAGACTAGACTGCTCACCTGTACAGCGCTGTTGAGGAAACAGTTGTTCTGTCCAGGAGCGTTGAGAAGACCCTTAGCCCCAGCCACGGAGTCCCGAGGGGAGGTTACATCAATGACCCCTTGCTCCCGTGACCCCGGGTCCTCCCCGCCCTCCTGGGTCACGTGGCGCTGCTTGGTGACTTCGTGGCGTAGGTTGGTGACCTCATGACGGGTGGGTCTCAGGGTATGTGTGAGCAGGGCATCAGGGCCACGATACCCGTCAGGGGAGGTCTCGACCCTCTTGTGATCCCACACTGGTCCCAGGTGGTCCCACGATGCCCGCAAGTGAGGCAGAGGGGTCTTGGGGGTATCCAGCTGGTCCCACGATCCCCCCAGGTGGTCCCGGTGGATACTGAAGCCCCGCAAGTTACGGGTCATGTCCCGGGGTGGACTGAAGGACCGTAGGGAAGCACCATAGTCACGGGGCAGAGACTTGGCCATGTCGCGGTGGTGGGCGGCGGGCACGGGGCGTGGGGGCGTGACCGCAGTCATGTTGGTGTGCAAGGAGGGCGTGGGCGTCATGGACACAACACCCACAAACTGGGACCACCTCGCACCAACACCGGAGGCAGCAACATCGTACTCAACACATCTGCAAAGAAACGGAACATCAGTCAACACCTGCACTGGTGGAGATCCTCTACCAGTCAACACCTGCACTGGTAGTGATCCTCAACCAGTCAATACCTACTCTGGGCAGAGCTTTATCAAACCAAAACACATGGCACACAGCGAGGCATAACTTGATAAAACACAAGACCGGTGTCGTTCTGCCATAGTCGTGGGACATGTCTGTTATCCTACACAGAGACGACGGTGACATCAACTGACAGCTGCATTAACTTGTATCTGACAGAGCAAAGCTCATTACCTTTGTCACGTCACTGCACCCGCCTCACCAACCTGTCTGAGCACCTTGCACGGACACCTATCTCGGAGTTCATCAGCGACATTAGTCTCCGGGGGTACTTGTCGTTATGCTTATCTAAGAAACCAGTCAGAAAATTGTCTGGGGGGATTGATCTGAGGGACTAATTGGAGGTATATTTTTGGAAGACTGATCTGATCTGGTAGCTGATAGTTGGTACAGTGCCTTTAGTCTTCAAAACTTCAACCTAGAAACCCCCGGAACAAGGAACGAAACTGTTTCACCCCGTTCCTAACAACCCCCAAATCTGCTAGACTGTGAAGACTACATAAGACACAAACCTGGTGGTGTCCCGCTGAGACCAATTTACCCATAAATAAGCTAGTACGCATCCTAACCAAGCTTACAAATGGTTGATGTAGGTAACAGTTCTGAGTCTGTAAATAAAGTTAGGAACCCTAAACACAAACTTGTAGAACACCTGTATATAAAAAAAATATCTTTCCAAATTCCTACACATATCACTCAGATATTATTTTCCTAACCGTATCCATATATAAGATTTTAAACTGATGGAAGACAGATGTATGGGTGAGTATAGGGAACGAAACAGTTATAACACTTCGGACGCAAATGCCAAAAATTACCAGAATATCTTAGGAAGTCGTTTAAAAAGCATGATAGTTCATAAACATAGTAATATTAAAAAAACAAATAAATTAGTGTTCAAACAAATAAAGTCGGATGAGAGAGACGAGGAATTAACTCTCAGCGTCAGCTATGGTAACTGTGGGAGAGCTAGAAATATAATGGATGAGCTAAGACTAATTGTATCTGTGGAAATCCAGACATTATTACAATAATCGAGACCTGGTTCAGTCTGAAGAACAGAGACATGTCTGCTGAATGACACATGAACGAGAATAAATTATTCCACACCGACAGTCAAGCTCTTCAAGACTACGGTGCTCATCACCTACTCCTAGACTGAGAGACTCATTACCTTATCTACAGTCTTCACATGTTCTTGTGTTGATAAAGCCACTGGACGGCGAAAAGTCTACAAATTAAAGATATCCAGATGTTGCACTGGTGTCTAATTCTTTAGGAATGGAGGCGAAGGAGTTTTTATGTATATGAAGGAAAATTTAAGAGGCACGTAAGTTCCCCCGTCTTCTAATAACATGTTGATTTTTCCACTATAATCTATCTTGCCCATAATTACTATCACATTTGCTTTGTCTGTTTCGTAAGGTGAGGTCCAGGATCTTTCCTTAATTCATGGTATAACTTAACAAATCTTTGAGGACAATTGTGTTGCAGAGTTCTGTCGATTTTCTAATCCATTTATCACAACTCCAGCTCCTTCATCTGACAGGTCTGGCCGCTTGCCTATGTTTTAGGCTTGAGGGGCTGACCCCCTCCCACCGAGGGGTGACAAACTGATCACTACTACTACTTCCAATGCTGCATTCACCTATATCTGACTGACGAAGTCTGCTGTGCAGGCGAAACGTTCCCCTAATGAAGATATCCAAGTGTTGCAAAAGCGTCTCATTTAACAAAACGTCTGGTCCTAGGAAGAGACAGCTGTGAGAATCACTTGTCACCTAGATCCCTTGAAGAAGCGTCCAGCGAGGAGAGAAAGCGGGCACATCTGCGGCTTGAGATGCGGAGGCTGCGAGGAGCGAGGCAGCCTACATACTAAGTATAACAGATAACGTTGATTAGGTTCACATACGGTGAGAAACATGCTTAATTCTTTACCTTATTCAGAAGACAAGGCGCGCCGTCTGCCAGTGCACCAGGAAGGAATACTGACTGGCCACAGTACGTGCACCAGGAAGGAATACTGACTGGCCACAGTACGTGCACCAGGAAGAAATACTGACTGGTCACAGTACGTGCACCAGGAAGGAATACTGACTGGTCACAGTACGTGCACCACGAAGGAATGCTGACTGGTCACAGTACCTGCACCAGGAAGGAATACTGACTGGTCACAGTACGTGCACCAGGAAGGAATACTGACTGGTCACAGTACGTGCACCAGAAAGGAATACTGACTGGTCACAGTACGTGCACCAGGAAGGAATACTGACTGGTCACAGTACGTGCACCAGGAAGGAATGCTGACTAGTCACAGTACGTGCACCAGGAAGGAATACTGACTGGTCACAGTACGTACACCACGAAAGAATGCTGACTGGTCACAGTACGTGCACCACGAAGGAATGCTGACTGATCACAGTACGTGCACCAGGAAGGAATGCTGACTGGTCACAGTACCTGCACCAGGAAGGAATGCTGACTGGTCACAGTACGTGCACCACGAAGGAATGCTGACTGGTCATAGTACGTTCACGAGGACAGAATAGTCTTAGCACGTGCACAAGGACAGAATACTGCCTTAGAACGTGCACGAGGACAGAATATTGACTGTCACAGACTGTCCAGAGAGTACCAACGGAGTCAGTTCTCCGCCAAATCTATCGTAGAATGACCCACACTGGTTTAGCGCTTCACGAAGTACAATAAAACGCTATTTACCTCGTGTTAAACCAGCGCTGGAAGTTATACCGATTTGAAGCAAGTTTACTCTGCACTCACAGCTCATCCTGTGAGTGGGCAGTTTACTGTGCACTCACAGCTCATCCTGTGAGTGGACAGTTTACTGTGCACTCACAGCTCATCCTGTGAGTGGGCAGTTTACTGTGCACTCACGGCTCATCCTGTGAGTGGGCAGTTTACTGTGCACTCACAGCTCATCCTGTGAGTGGACAGTTTACTGTGCACTCACAGCTCATCCTGTGAGTGGGCATTTACTGTGCACTCACAGCTCATCCTGTGAGTGGACAGTTTACTGTGCACTCACAGCTCATCCTGTGAGTGGGCAGTTTACTGTGCACTCACAGCTCATCCTGTGAGTGGACAGTTTACTGTGCACTCACAGCTCATCCTGTGAGTGGGCAGTTTACTGTGCACTCACGGCTCATCCTGTGAGTGGACAGTTTACTGTGCACTCACAGCTCATCCTGTGAGTGGGCAGTTTACTGTGCACTCACAGCTCATCTTGTGAGACAGGATTACAGAAGCCATCAATGCTTTAACCTTTGATATACCTTTGATGGGTTTCTTGAGTTCTTTTACGTCATCAGGAGCTTGCAATGTTTCAGAAATAAGTAGGAAGTCCAGGTGGATACGCTCAAGGGAACGACTCTAGCTAGAATAAGATGGCATCGAGCAGACCAGTGCCAGGCACCAGACTACATTAGTTAAGATGTATTTTTTCAATATCAGTCTTTTGCAAAACAACCACAAGGGGAGTTGAATGATAGCTCTAGGCCTTTCGTGTTGCAATCAACACGCACCTGGTTACCTGGAGGGCGTTACGGGGGTCAACGCCCCGGCGACATCATCAGGAGCTTGCGATGTTGCAGAAACAGGTAGAAAGTCCAAGCAGATTCGTTCAGGTGGAACATCCCTTTAAACGAATCTGCTTGGATTTGGTACTCATTTCTGCAACACTATAAGCTCCATATGATGTGTTGATTGCAACACGAATGCTTCGCATCTTATATCGCTTGTTTGCGATTTTTGCCTAGCCAGTCTTATAGTGGATCAATTACCTTATCATTGCTACTACAAACATTGGTCTGGTCTGTGTTAATAGTGTGGGAATGACCTTTCCCGCGGCTAGGTCTCAGACCAGGCCTCCTAAACTGTGAAGAATATACTACAGCAACAATACTTAGAAAAGTAAAGATGTATCTATAATTTTCCTGTCATCTTCACAAGAAAGATCATTAATCCTACCAGAGTGCAAAACAATTAAGAAGTTATCGTGATAATGGCAACTCATTTGATCTTTCAGTTAACACCCTCAAAGTCAGTCAACTTTGGTGGTGTCAGAGAGGCTGATGATGTGGCTTTATTGGGTTATCCTGGGGTTACTAACCCTGCGGCTTAAATCAGAACAAAGCCAAAGACAAAGAGAACTTTATTTCTAAAACGCAAGGTACTGTACGCAAGGTACGATACGCAAGGTACTGGACGCAAGGTACGGTACGCAAGGTACTGTATGCAAGGTAATGTACGCAAGGTACTGTATGCAAGGTAATGTACGCAAGGTACTCTACGCAAGGTACGGTACGCAACGTACGGTACGGAAGGTAGGGTATACAATTGTTAAGCAGAACATTTCTGGCAGCCATGAAGTTGACTTATAACTAATAACAGTTATACCTCAAGGATAGTTCACTAGTATACCATGGCTTGTAATATATACTTTATATACTGTAACAATTTAGGTTATTGTAATAATGTTGGTAGAATTACCCACAATATGTTAGGTAAAGGTCACAAGTGCAACTAATGTGACACTTTTATTGTGGCAACGTTTCGCTCTCCAGGAGCTTTGTCAAGCTGTTACCAACAATACATGGACACAGAGGGTATATATAGGCACAAAGTGAGGTGCAGGGCACCTTCCCTGGGGTGGGTGAAGGTACCTTCCCTGGGGTGGGTGAAGGTACCTTCCCTGGGATGGGTGAAGGTACCTTCCCTGGGATGAGTGAAGGTACCTTCCCTGGAGTGAGTGAAGGTACCTTCCCTGGGGTGAGTGAAGGTACCTTCCCTGGGGTGAATGAAGGCACCTTTCCTGGGCTGAGTAAAGGTACCTTCCCTGGGGTGAGTGAAGGTACCTTCCTTGGGGTTAGTGAAGG